AAGTATTTGTTGTGACAGAAGCGAAGAGAAATAGTACTGTAGCAAAGGAGCTCTGAGGTCAAGAGAGTTCTGGGTTTTGTTTTTTGTTTTGTTTAGATGAAGGATGTTAAAGCATATTTACATACTAATGGGAGTGATTTGGCAGACTGGAAACTGATTATGCGGGAGAGAAGATAATTACAGAAAAAGGCTGCAGAGGTAGACACTTTGTTGGTATTCAAGCAAAGTATAAAGGTTACTTTTAAAAGGGACAGGTACACAGAACTCCACTGCAAGGGAAGGGATTATGCACTATGCAGCTAAATTGGTAGATCTGCAGTAGAAATGCAAAGATGTTGCTTTGTTTGATGTGAGCAAGAAAAGTCAATGTCAGGGTTGGGAAGGAAGTGTAGGTTGAAAAAGATATATGTAAGTTGTTAAAGAAGAAAAGTGAGTATATATAATTTTCATACACAGATGTGATTGGACTTTATGTATAATAAATAGTGAGGAAACTTATAAAATATCTCAAAGGCGTCTTTATCAAATATTTGAAGATATCTTATTAGAAGATCTGACACTTGTTTTTCAAGGACTGTAATGAGTCTTCTTTGTCCAGATCCTGGAAACTGAAAACTTCTCAAGGGCATGAGTATTTTTTGTTTTCTTACTTATGCTTGCTTGTTACAGAGTATATATATGGCAAAACATTTGATGTATAACTCCTACTTGAAAAGCTATGAAAATTAAAATTAGTTTAGACTTGAAAGAGGCATAGTATTTATTTATGCTGTCAATATTTTCAAAATCCTATTTTGGAGGAGTTTAAGCCCCCATCTAAATTTTAAAAAGAAAAAATTAGTGTGCATCTATTAACATTCTAGGATAAATTACTTTTGTATTGTTTCCAAGTAGAAAACACTAAAATATTTTTGCCATTTAGAAGTACAAGGGCAATAAAAATTGTTTTGTGCATTGTCCCTCCAAACTTAATACACAGGATTTTTTTTTTTTAAACAGTGCTTGGTGCTTCATTGCTGGATAAGCTGTACCTGATGGGTGGGAATTTAAAGATGCATATTTCTTCTTTGGGTGTTATGTGAAATTAGATTGTGACTAATGGGATAAGATTGTTCTCCAGATTTTGCTATTCTAGCATAACCAAAAATATAAATATGTAAGTATACATGTAAATGTTTATCTGCTTAAACACTTTAGATATTTAAATGGCCACCTCAAATTTTAAATGGTAGACATTTCAATGGACTCAAAATATTAAGTATGAAAGTCTTTGTGACACAAATCCTAAAAAATACTAAGTTCTGTATTTCTTTTGTTTTGATTTTTGTTTTTCAAGAAAGGTTTCTCTGTGTGACAGTCCTGGCTCTCACAGAACTCATTTTGTAGACAACACTGGTCTCAGACTCCCAGAGATCCCCCGTCTCTGCCTCCCAAGTACTGAGATTGAAGCTGTGTGACACCACAGTCCAGCTAAATAGTTTATTTCTACAAAATACCTAGATAACATCTGTCTAGAATGACTTATGTAATCCATCACAGAGATTATATTTGACTAATCAAAAACTGCAGCCAAAATATTTTCCTTCCATAAGATAAAGACTTGTGAGGTCTTTGTGAATGGGCTTGAAGCTACTTATCATCAAATGTTAGCATTGTGGCCATCTATTTTTGCAAGACAGTATAGATCTGTTTGTGACAATAAGGAAGGATAGCACCACACTATGTTTTCTCAGTTTGGGATCGCATCACTATTTAGGGCATGTATGTTTCCTCCCAAGTTGCTTATATAGTCTGTTTCCTTTTTTGTTGTAATTACACTAGAGATGCAAATGCAGCAAAATCACATTACTCAAACTGTAATCCCACCTACTACCTACTTGATCACAGTTGTGAAGTAGTCCAGATTGATTGGAAAGTGGAACTATTTTCATCTTATAAAAATCTACTATACTATTCCATGTAAATTTTCATGTGCTGGTATGCATAAAGCTAATAGTGTTATAGAATGCCCAGCTCTCAATATGAGGGATTGTTTATGGTAAATTGCATTATGTATGTCATCTATTTGCTAAAAGAGTATGGTGTTTGGCAAAACAACCTTCTGAGGAACATAGTAAGATTTTTGTACAAAGTACAAATTGCTAATTACTGTATTTTATTTTTCTATGATTTCCTAAAAGGCATTATCAGGGTCTTACAGATGGAGAAAACCTGTTTATTAAAATATCTATTACCAAATAAAAGTTACAGTTTTGGTGGTTCAATTTGTGATGTTTTGTACTGTTGTATGCAAGTATATTATTGTAATTTACTTTTCAGTATATACTTCTAGGTATTATTTAGAAATTTACTAATTCTGAATATGAAACATAGTTGTAATTTTTCAATATAACTACAGACTTTGAGGTCTAGGCCTAAATTCACACATATCACTATACTTAATGGGTACATATTTTTGTAGTGATTTTTATACTGGCAAATATTTTATGAGATTCAAATGAATGAAATGATGTATTATAGAGGTAGTTTATCCACATACGGCACATACACAATATCAACTGTTCTAACAGATCTTTAGACCATCACTGTCCATTGCAAAATTTTCAATAAATTATAATTCAGGGGTTTTCCAGATTCTTTATTAGTTGCTGATAAGAAAATACGTACTATTCTGAGTTCATTAGAAGTAACATATCCATTGTATCTCACTCTTTTATGATTGTCGAACTGTAGTTCCTACAAGCCACTACAGCGTGAAAGGTGGTAAGAAAGTATCTAACATTCTCTTGGACATGTCTTAAGTAGACGAGAAAATTACATACTGTTTTAAAAGCTTGTTGTGCTCATAATAAAATCAAGAGAGTCAAACTAACTTTGTAAGTCACATGGAATAATTTTATGTCGTGTTTCTGGGTATACTCAAGATAGGTTACAGATGCCAACCACCAAAACACCAGATGCAAACATCTGACATATTTACATTGCTTTAGGGTTCAACTTTTCAACCTTTTCTAAATTGCAAAACAGAATTCAGGTCTCCTGTGAACTCTTTAATCTCTAATAATAAAGTAGCATATCAACTACACTTCTCTAAAATAACTGTTCTTTTGTTGTCGAAATCAGCTAAGTTGAGGATGAGAAGATGGCTCAGTGGTTTAAAGCTCTCTCAGAGAAACTAGGTTTGGTTCACAGCACCCACATGGTGGCTCACACCCTTTCTTAATTCCAGTCCCAGCAGATATGATGTCCTTTCCTGACCTCTTCATGCACCACGTACTCATGTGGTGGGTACGCATATATATGAGCAGACAAAACGCACATAAAATGAAATAAGTCCAATAAAACTTTTTTTAAGTATCATTTAAGCTTATTGTGAAGTTCAGTCTATCTTTTACATTTCTAGTTTTCTCCAAATGCGTTGTACCAAGAAAAACTGAATTTAGCTTAAAAAGTGCCAAAAAATTTCTAGCACATAAGCTCTACTCTTTGTCTAAGGGGGAAGTGTTGTATAAGCAAATAAGCATCCATATTTTGTCAAAGTGAGTCAAAACATTCGGGATCAAAGGGAAGTGTTTAATAGTTCCCTGTAAATGCACTTGGATCAGAAGTTAAAGGACAACCATATCAGGGATTGAGTTGATTTTCTTTGATTAATAAGAAAAAAATACCTCAGGATAAAGGAAAGTATATGAATGAACACTTGTTATCAGTCAGACAGACAAACTTTTCTTTCTTTATTCCTCAAAATCACTAGATAAAATACCTTTTTGAAGATGAAAAATACAGATAGCTTAATTTTCCTAGCCCACAGGGTAAAATATAGCATATTCCAATCATCTATTTTAACAAGGACATTTATGCCATTCATATACATATAGGGGTTTTGCTCATTCAGTTTTTTATTTTTGTTTTGTTTGTTTGTTTTTTGTTTTGTTTGTTTGTTTGTTTTGTCTTGCAAGGGTCAGGAGACCAGAATTACACCTTATTCAATGTTATCAACACCTGGGAATTTGGGAAGGGAATAGAAAAAAGCACTCCATGGTAATGCAGTACCATGTCTTTGAAATTTCTTTCAGTTTCTTTTTTTACCATCATAGTCAAGTTACCAGGCCAAGTTTAAAAAAAAAAAAAGCAATTATGATAGTTAAACATACCACTAGCCAGTGAAAAGGTAAAATAACATTCCACACTTATACTAACAAGTAAAATGAAGAGATGAAACTTTAAATACAAGTTTGTCATGAAAGTCGTGGGTTGACGAGTAGGATGGTGGAAATGGCAAGCTTCAAAGACTTGACAAAAATTTAAAATTGTTGTTATCTGTAGCCTGCCCATTGGAGAGCAATACAAATGTGAGGGAAAGTGTCTGTCCAAAACTCTTTCAATTAGAGTCGGTGGCACAAGCTTCTAATCCCAGGGAGGCAGAGGCAGGCGGATCTCTGTTAGAAGCCAGCCTGGTCTATCCAAAGCAATACAGAGAAACCCTGTCTAAACTCTTTCAATTAGGACAATTTATTTCTATTGCTAAAAATTCCAAATGAATTTAAGAAGTAAATCAAGTATTGATTAGCAAAAGCCTTTCCTGGCCACCAGGCTCTCTGATGGTCTGTAATCACAAATTCATTCCCGGTGTTAATCTCTCCAAGACAACAGACACCTAAGAGTCGGGGACAGAATCACACTTCCTTGGCCAAATAATGTCTCAAAAACAAAAACAAACAAAAAAAACGGACGAGGGTTTATACAGCAGTTTCCCTCCTCTCCAGGCCATGCTAACAGCTGCACTTCCGCAGGACTCGCTCTCAGGTCCAGCTGAGCCCAGGGAAGGGTCTGTGTGATGGGAAGCAGAACCACAGACTTCGGTTGAGTGGCAGTCACCCCAAACCGCGCCAAGAGCTTGGCGATAACCAGAAGGCGGGCGCGCAGGACGCCATCTCCCCGCGATGCGCGCGCAGCTAAGGCACCAGCGCACTACCCGGCATGCTGTGCGCGGGCCCCCACCACGTCCCAGCTTTGAAGGCGCTACCCGTGTCCTTCCTCCCAGTGTAGCGGCGGCTCCCCGTGTCTTCTGTGCCCACTCTCTCTTTAATAGAAGCCCTCTGCTAGAGTCAAGCCATTTTCACCCAGAGCTCTCGAGCCGCACAAGTGACAACACAACAGCGGACGTCCTACAACGCCCGAGGGGGCGTGGCTTTGGGACCGGAAGAAGGTCCTGTTGCCAAGGGAACGGCGCGCGCCTTGGCGCCTGCTCAGCCACTGATGCTCCCACCCCGGCCGAAGCCGCCGGTTCCCTCAACTTGTAGGAGAGGCTGTGCTCAGGACAGGGGAGCCTTCCTACGGAGGCACGGGGAGGAGGGCTGAGGCTCCCGGGGAAGATCCCACCGCGGAAACGGGTGGAAGAGTGCGTCCGTCCATTCCTGTCCTTGGATTGGCTTCAAAGATCAGGTATCTCCACCCCCCACCGCCACCCCCACCCCGCTTTTTTGTCTGTCTCTTCATCCCCATCTCTGTGTTGTCTCTCAGCTCTGCTGGGTGTAATTTTACACATTATCACTTTCACCCCTGTTAAATGTACACCGCCTCGCTGCTGTGGTTGTAGCGCCGTGGATCCGTCGCCAGCATCCACTACTTCAAAAAGTTCCTGCTACCTGTTTGTAGCCATTTCCACCCCGGTTGCCAGAGGCCACCCTCTCTCTCCCCGTCCGATTTAGAATAAGTCATTACCCACGTCTTTCCATCTAAACGAGTTGCTGTCTCTAACCTGTGAAAGGTGGGAAAAGGGAATTGAGTTTATGTGGTGAATGCTCCAAGAAGCCTCCAGAATGCATTGAACTGCTTTTTGGCGAATGGTGCTTGCTTGCTTGCCTGCTTGGCTCTGAAGTTGCCTACCATGGGCCTTTTTATACGATGTATGCATTATTTAGTTGAAATTTCATTACCAGATATTTAAAACTAAATAAGGTGGGTTGATTGCGGTAGTAAGAGTGTGCAAACAGCCCACTCTCCCTTCGTGCTTCAAGTTTACAATATAGCATTTCTAGAGTAGTATCATCTCTCTCTGCAGCCTCTCTCCAAGCCTGTACCTATGGATAACACGCTAATTCTTCGGTACTTTTCTGGCGACCAGTAATCCTTTGGAAAGCTAATTCTCAGAAAGCAGCTAGGGGGATTTGGCTGATGTATATATAAAGGGCAAGGGTGAGATGAGAAACTGAAAAATATCAGCCAGACTGTGACCCACTGCCTTAAATATTGTAGGACAGAAAGGTTCGACAATCTTAAAAGTGACACAGGAGTAGTGCAGTGCCAATGTTCAAACCTACGTGTTCTTGATTCAAGTACAAGAGTTGTTTCATTTTAGGAAGTTTACTTTAGCTATCAAGTCTGCCACCGTTAATACAGTACATACAGTAAGACAAGCTGAAGGCATATTCCCCTAATCTAACCAATACTTGTTCTTCCTGCCTCTTAGGACGGCCTTCTGGCAGTCTTGTCTCAACTCACTATCAGCTTTCTACCTAGTTCTCAAACAAAAATGATAATAAATCTGTAAAGATTTTAGTTTTAGCATTCTCTCTCTCTCTCTCTCTCTCTCTCTCTCTCTCTCTTTTTCTCCTCTCTCTGTCTCTACCTTCCTCCCTCTCTCCTTCCTTCCCTCCCTCTCACATTTGTTCATATACTGTAGTTCTTGCTGAAGCCAGAAGAGGGTGTGACCACCCCTGGAATTGGAGTGCTTGAGATCCTCACTCTGTGGGTGCTGGGAACCAAACTCTGGTCCTTTGGAAGAGCAGCAAGCCCTCTTAATGACTGTGCTGTCTCTCCAGAATAATTTCCTTCTTTTTTTTTTTATTTTAGTTTTTCTAGACAAGGTTTCTCTGTGTAGCTTTGAAACCCATCCTGGCACTCAGTCTGTAGTCCAGGTTGGCCTCAAACTCAGAGATCCACCTATCTCTGCCTCTGGAGTGCTGGGATTAAAGGCATATACCACCACCACCCGGCCAGAATGATTTTTAATTTTTTTTCTTTCTCCTTTTGCAGTGCTTAAGATCAAACCCAGGAATTTCATACATTATAGGCAAGCATGTTATCACTTGGCTCCATAATTAGCCCCCAAGATCATACCTTTCTTTAAAAAATTTAAATACACATGAGTTGTAAAAGAGAGTATAAAGCTAATTTTTCCCTAGTTCAAACCCTATCACAGTTTTTTTTTTTTTTTAATTTTTGTGCCTTTGTGGTGGGGGTTGGTTGTATAAAAAACATAATTGATAGTGAAAGTGTAAACCTTACGAAAAGCTCGGTTGCTTTAGAAAAGCCCTAGCTGTAGAAGTTCACTGAGATATATAGAGTTTGGGATTGGGCAAGTTCTTGTTGAATGGCTATCTTAATCTAGTTGTGTAATGTTTTTATTTGTGAGTTCATTACAATGAGGGGATTTTGTTGTAAAAACCTTAAACTACTATTTTGAAGAAATTGAGAATAAAATAGAGAATCTAAAATGGCTGAGATGCTTTGTGATAAATGTCCTTAACTGTGTATTATTCAACTACAAATCTCTATAGTTTCACTCTCAGTGCTACTGATTGTTATTTTCAAATTGTCCTCTTATTGATTAGTCTTCCTCAATCACAGGGGGTGGTTGTTTCTTCTTAAGCCTTTTATGGACTTACCTTAGCTTAGTTGTACTTAGCCTTTGGAAAACTGTAACATGAATAATAAAAGACCTAGAGGCTGATATTGGGGTTCAAACTTCAAGATGAAGAACAGAGCAACAAAGTAGCCAAGCTACCAGAGAGCTCTTACCTCTAACAGGTGGGGCGTTCCTAGTCTCAACATGGTGGGAGCATGGATTCTTCCTACTTCATAGTGTGACTGGAGAATGAATGCTTCCTACTCAATACTGATAACCCTGCTTCTATCTTTTATACCCCTCAAAGAAAAAAAAAGTAAAAGAAATAGAGTAATAAAAAAAATAAGCTATGCTCAGGAGAGATTACCGTCTGAGGCTTGGTGAGAGCTCGTGGAGACAGGATCAGCCCTTTCAGCGTGAGGTAGAGGTAAGAAGCTAGTGGCCAGCTGCTTTGCTTTTTGAATCCTCAGGCAAGCTTTAATAAACCACAAATAATATAGCACCACAGAAAACTTGGTTGTTCAAGATCTTGCTTTGTCCAAACTTAAACAAAAATAAGGAAACGGAAGGAGAAAATAAAATGAGCAGAACAACTGTCCCAGAAAAGCACAAAAGGTTTCAAAGCACAGTCCCCCTCAAATCGGAAGAAACTGTTAAATCTTTCATATTCTGAAAAAAAGAGACATTGATGGAAGGAAACTTGACAGAATATAGAGGTGTGTGAACTAAGAGATTATGGCATAAACAGACCAACCGAAGAATAGACCAGGTTCCCAGCTTATTTCCCAAAAGGTTCCCTTGGACAGGTACTCACCAAAATTAGCGTCGTCTTATCCATCTCTTGAAGCTTTACAACTAGTGTCCTCATATTGGAGAGTGAAGCTCTTTAGATGCTTGTTTAAATGTACAGAGTCTAAGATTTCTTAAACTTGTGTGACCTTGCAATTCTTTTCAAAGTAATCCCTAAAATTCTCTTTCAGAGAATACAGTTGAGAATATGCAGATTGAGGACCTACTAATAGACCCAAACATGCATAAGGATATAAAATACAAAAAATAAAAATGAGAGAAAAATTAGTAAGGGATGAGTGAAAATATTAACTAAATGTTTAAGATACTGAGGAGAGGAAATGTTTCTAGACCTAAAATAAGAAACAAACAACAAAAAAACTATCAGTGTCATCAGATAAATGTTCTGTATAATAAAAACATAAAGGAAAATTTGAATTGAATAAAATGATTTGCAGTTCATATGCACGGTAAGGTTCCTATATACAATAATCGAAGGAGTAACTACCAAAATATGGTAGTCAGCTCAGAACTGAAACACCACTAAGAAGCAGGTTTTGCCGTCATACCCAGTTTTACTAGTGATAGAGTAAATGGAAAGTTAAGCAATGCTGTGATAGAATTTTTCATTTTGCAGATGAGAACAAAAATGAAAATCCAAAATATTTCAATATCAAACCTCAGGTGTTTGAAAAATAGGGAAAGTCACAAAAAGCTAGGAAAATGAATGTCCAAGATAGAACTTTTAACAACTAATGCTTTCTAGTACTTTCCTAGAGGGTGGACATGGGAAAGAAAATCGGTCATAGTTTTGAAAATATGGTAAAGAGCATATGGAAAATGAAAAATATAAATATTTATATTAATATGCTTAGCACAGTATAGGACTTAATAGCAAATTGGAATTCAAATGATAAATATAAAATATTAAACAATACTATGAATTTAAAATAGATTCATCAGATAGATTCATCAAATGCCAACTCTTAAGCTGGGTGGGATTCAAAGAAATGTTTTGAAACAGGCTTTGAATCTCTAATATGAAAAGATTTTGAAGTAGCACAAAGGGAAATACTTAGGGTCAGACCCCTCCTTTGAATAAGAAAGACAGCTTTCTTGTAGGCCCCACCCATGGGAGGCACTGAACTTTGCAGGCACATTATAAGTAAAGGTCTCCCAAAGGCACTAAGCAAAATGTCAGCCATACAGCCACTTTTCCTATGCACTTCACTCAGAAGCTTCCTGTTGATTACCTGCCATTGCCTTGCCTCCCTTAACATCCCTTACTTGGGGTGCTATAGAATAAAAACTATGAAAGGAGCTGTAACACGACAGATTTATGTGACCTTAAATGAATACGAGAATCAATGAAGTGAATTAATGTCTCAGGAACTTTGGAAATTAGTATGGAGAGAGTAAAGGGAAATATGTATTACACAGGTGTATTGTGGCAATGCCAGTAGTGCTAGGAGGTTAGCAAAAGGAGTGTTTTTCTTCTCTTGTCATAGTAAAGTTATGCTTTGATGAAACCAAAGCACAGTTTCTCCTTTAAAAGCTTTGTTTGGAGATGTGGAGTGTAAATTTTAACAGTACTTTCCTGGAGGGAAAGGAACAGACAGAAAGCCGCACAAAGCAATACATTAGCAGCAGTTTGATTTGACTTCAGAGCACTTCTGTCTTGTATTGCTAATGGAATTTGGTTGGGGGGGGATCATTTGGGGAATTGTTCTTTAAAGTTTGCTTTAGAAAGTTGTATAGTTTGAATTTTTAAGTATAATATTTTAAATTCCTTCTTTAAGAATTTTATACTTGTAGCTGGGCAGTGGCCATGCACGCCTTTAATCCCAGCTCTCGGGAAGAAGAGACAGGTGGATCTCTGTAAGTTCGAGGCCAGCCTGGTCTACAAAGCAAGTTCCAGGGCAGCCAGGACAGTTACACAGAGAAATGCTATCTTGAAACACACACACACACACACACACACACACACACACACACACACACACAAGAATTTTATACTTGTATATAATGTATTTTGATTCTCTGCATCCTTGTTCCCAACTCCAGCTCTTCCTAGATAATCCCCATGTCGCCTTCCCAAGTTCATGTCCTCTTCTTTGTGTTCTTTTGAAGTAACCCAATGAGCACAATTATTGCACTATTACGCGCATGGGTGTAGACCCATCTACATGGGCAACCAGCCAGTGGCCATCTACAAGGGCAACCAGCCAGTGGCCATATCCCGGAAGGAAACTGGCTCTCCCTGACAGCCATCAACTGCCGTTGGCTTCTCAGATAGGGTAGTGGCCGGGGAGACCTTCCCTCATCCATACTGGAATGTTGACTGGCTTGGGCAGTTCTTGTGTGGACAATCACAGCTGCTAAGAGTTCATGAGTACACTGGCTCTGTCATGTCCAGAAGGCTCTAATTGGCACCCCATCCCAAACTTCTGGCTTGTACAGCCTTTCTGCCTCCTCTTCCAGAATGTTCCCTAAGCCTTGGGAGGAGGAGTGTGGTATAGATAGATGTCACTAATTCTCTGTACTTGGACTGTTGTGAATCTCTGTATCAACAGTATTCACTGCAAAAAGAAGACGCTGACAAGAGTTGAGAACTGCCTTAAACTCTGGGTATGATGATAAAAGTGTAGGGAACAGTTTCTTCCTGTGTCCATGTGGTACAGCAATAGTAATAGTTTCTTCCCTACAACCTCCCCATTCATGGGTTCTTGGTTAGCTTTGCTGTACCAGGCATGAGTTTTTGTGTGAAAAACAGGCTTAAATCCAATCAGAAAGTGGTTGGCTACCCCATAACCTTCCTGTCACTCTTGAACCAATGGGCATAGCCTGCCAGGTTGGTCATTATAATAACTCTCAGGTTCACAGATGAGAAAGACTTTTGATGACTTTTTGACCCCATAGTCTGCACAGTACTTTCCTGACCTATGAAAGCTACCTATCAGGGAAGGAGCTTTTGATCAGTGCCACTTGGATTTCTCCTTATCTTGTGGCTAACATGTGTGGTGTCTTCAGCAATAGTGTCTTAACATCAGGTTCCCTTGGGTAACCAAGAGCAATGGCAATAGCTATATATGGCTTGGGGTGGTCTCTGAGATTTCCCCTCCTAGACCAACAGCTGGAAGGAGATATCCCACACCTGAAACTAATAATAAATACCCCTTGAAGGCCTATGTCTTAAGAGCTTAGTCTTCAACATTGTGGACTGTGTCATGGACTGTAGCTTCTAAACTTGTGAGCTAGTTTATCTCAACATTTGTTATGGGAACAGAAAGCTGGTCCAACAGATATCCCCTTTAAATAATAATTCACTTGAACACCCAAGGAACAAGTTAAAAAATAGATGTGTGTGTATAGCAAATATGTATATATGCAAACCTCTGTATGTGTGTGTGTGCGCGCGCGCACACACACACACGCACACGCACACATGCATGTGGTATGCATGTATGCTTAAAGTTTGCATTTACTTTCCTATTCTATAATGGTATTACAGTTAAAGCTCTTTTATATAATGGTAGGATGTTGTAGATAAGTTACTGTTAAGAAAACATTGGATCTTGCTCTTACCATGTGTGGTATAGGAGGACCCTCCCTTGCTGTAAATTTACCAACAGAAAAAGTTAGCCATCAAGAAAAGTTAGCCAAACTTCAAACTCTGGATAGGGGGTGAGAGTATGGCTTGCAGAAAGAAGAAGGTGGTACTGACTGCTAGGGAATATTGTTTTAAGATGTGTTACTTTTGTTTATGCTGCATTTGTTTAACTCTGTGAAGCTGTGTTACTGTGCCTGTCTAAAACACCTGGTGGTCCTAATAAATAGCTGAACGGCCAGTATCGAGGAAGGAGCAAGGATAGGTGGGGCTGGCAGGCAGAGAGTATAAATCGAAGGAGGAATGAACAAAAGAAGAACATCAAGAGAACAAGGAGGTCTTTTTCCTCTTCCGGGGATGGTGCTTAGAGGCACTCAGAATGGTCCAGCATTTGACATACCGACATAGACTTTCCTACAATACAGCCTCTAACAAAACTAGGCTGTCCCAAACTCCTGGCAACAGGATTGTTTACCTTTATACCAAGAAGGTTGGGAAAGCACCGAAATCCGAATGTGGTGTGTGCCCAGGCAGACTTCAAGGAGTTCGTGCTGTCAGACCGAAAGTTCTTATGAGACTGTCTAAGACAAAGAAGCATGTCAGCAGGGCCTACGGTGGCTCCATGTGTGCCAAGTGTGTCCATGACAGAATCAAGCAGGCTCTCCTTATTGAAGAGCAGAAAATTGTTGTGAAAGTGTTAAAGGCATAAGCGCAGAGTCAGAAATCGAAATAAATCTGTAGCTTTTTAAAATAAAGGTGAAGGCTTGGTCTGTGGAAAAATAAAGAACAAGGAGAAGAGGACATCAGGGGATAGCCATCCAGCCATGGAGTAAGAAGGAAAGTAAGATATATGAAAGTAAGAAAGATAAAAGCCCAGAGGGAAAAGATAGATGGGTTAATTTCAAGAAAAGCTGGCTAGAAATAAGCCAATCTAAGGCGGGGCATTGATAAGTTATAATCCACGTGTGATTTATCTGGGAGCTGGGTGGCAGGTCCCCTGAAAAGGACAAAAAGCCAAAAGAGTAAAGAATTAAAAACATAGCAATATAGGACAGCTACTGCTGATGACAAAAAGCTTCAGAGTTCTCTAAAGAAACTGACTGGGAACAATACAGCTGGATATTTAAGAGGTGAACATGGTTAAAGATGATGGATGAGCTCTTTATTTCAACAGTCCCAAACTCCAATCTTCCCTCTTCGATAACATCTTTGCAGTTACTGGTTGTGCAAAAGCCAAACCAATCACAGAAATGCTTCCTGGAATATTAAGTCAGCTTGGTGCTGATAGCTTAACAAGCCTTAGAAAGTTAGCTGAACAGTTCCCACGACAAGTATTGGATAGCAAAGTACCCAAAGCAGAAGACATTGACGAAGAGGATGGTGATGTCCCAGACCTTGTAGAAAATTTTGATGAAGCATTGAAAAATGAAGCTAACTAAAATCCTCTGAGTTCTGGAAGCTGGCATGGACTAGATTGAACAAACAGCTCTGTTGGTCCAAAGTTTTGTAGTCTGGACAGGAAACTTCCACCTACACTGGGCCAGACTAGATTGAACAATCAGCTCTGTTCGAAAGTTTTACAGACACAGAGAACATCACCTGTAGGCAGACATTTCTTTCCTGCTTGCCAGTTTCCAAATAACCAACATGGAGACTAAATATTAATTATAAATGCTCAGCCGATAGCTCAGGCTTTTTATTAACTAGCTCTTACAATGTAAATTAACCCATTTATACTACTCTGCATTCCGCCATATGGCATTACCTCTCTTTCATCTTGCATTTCCTGTTTTCTCTCTCTGTCTCGCTGTCGACTCTTCTGACTGTCCTCCTTCTTACCCTGTCCAGCTATTGGCCAGTCAGCTTCTTTATTAAACCAATCACAGCATAATTCACACAGTGTACAGAAGGGTTATTCCACAGCAATGGCCTGTCTCTAGTTCAGTACTGTAAATATTTTGTAGATTAATAATGCTGTTTGTTCAGCATTTCTTGGTCATTTAATTTTGCATTTTGCACTTCTAAGGATCTATTGTTTTGATCAAAATATGAAGCATTGAGGCAGTTTGAGGGGGGTTTTTGTTTTGGGGGGAACTTTCGGTATATATTTATGTATATGTATATATGTACACAGTGGACAGCAAATTGGATAAGGGTTATATCTATCCTCTTCCTTTCCCCAGTAGAATTAAAGCAAATCTTTACCCTCAAGAAAGAAAATAAAGAAAAAGAAAACATTGAATTTAGTAAGGTTGACTAAAATTGTGAAGGAATGTATCCATTACTCCCCCCCAAATTGACAGTGAATTGCAGAGATACATGAGATAGGTGAAATCAGCATATATTTCCTACTAATAGAAAACCTTTATACAAACTGAAAATAACCCTGGAGAAAACAAAACAACAACAACAAAAAAAAACAGTGAAATTTTTATAATTACATGTTATTTCAAAATGCAACCATGGCCTTGTTTCAGATATTTATCTAGTAGTTGCACTGATCCAGCTAGACCTTGGGGTTTTTGCATTCTTATCTTCTGCTTTTTGAGCTTTAGCCTCAGACTGTAGCCAAGTCTCATTGCCTCTTTAGTGTTTCATATTTGCCTGACTTTCCATTCATAAATACCTTTGAAAACTACATTTGGAAAACGCCACTTGATCCTGAAGCTAACAAGAGCTTCTTCTTGAATATTTTGAAAGTGGTTGTCTCACAGATGCTACTCCTTGTTGTCAGGGTTATAAGCTGCCAGTCTGCAGTGAAGGCTCCTTTCTGATAATCGGCTTACACTGCTTACTCGGAGTAAGCCACACCAATGTGTTTTGTGTGCTGCCATTATCCTTACATTTTTTATGCACATACTAATGCATTCCATATGTAAGGTACCTGTGAAATAATCACTTCTTTTCCCTTGCAGTTGCTTTGTAAATATTTAAATTACATTATGGGATTGCTGGACAAACTTTCTGGTTTACTTGGCCTAAAAAAGAAGGAGGTTCATGTGTTATGCCTTGGACTGGATAATAGTGGCAAAACTACAATCATTAACAAACTTAAACCGTCAAATGTAAGTATCTCTGTGATGCTTGACGTTTTCTGATACCAGCGAAAGTTATGTGCAGCATTACTTTGAAGTTGTAACTTCCTGTAATGTTGTGAAGTCCTGTTAATCTTACTGTTGGTTAAGGGGTTGCTTGCTGCGTGTGCCGAATATTTATGCAGTATGCATGTAAATCTTGATTATTAAGCTGAAATACTGTCATTTTCTTCCTTTATATTCTTCTAAAGAGCTTCACAAATTGACTAAGTTTATTTATAGACTGCACTGACTTTGTTTAAATTTCTTCTTCATGGGAAGAACAAAACAAAAGGAAAGATGCCTCAGTTTTCTAAATCTGTGGATAATTATACAGTGCTGTGCATATTGATGACAGATGGTGATTTTGAGCACCATAGGTATGAAAATATTATTTTCTTACTGAGAATATATAAAACTAGTACATGCAACATACGACTCATAAGTCAGAAGTAGGCTTTGTTGCATATAATTCCTGATATGATTTTCTAAACCTTAAGCTGTAACTGTCCTGACTCAGTAAAATTGACCTGAAGACCCTGAGCTTCCTCCACCTGCCCTCTGACTCTAGTAATAATAGCCAAAAGGCGTTACTGAATTGGAAGGTTCAGAGGCGCCATACTTTTATTACTCAAATGTAGGTTTTACATTTCTCCCACCTTATTTTAAATTCATCACTTGTGCATTTTCATCTACATTTGGGTGCTATTTTTAGTTAATTAACTGTATTAATCATAGGATCTACAGTGCTCTGTTAGGAAAAGTCTTACAAGACTGGTCCATGTTGTCTCCTTGTGCATATAAATAACATTGATTTTTTTGATAACTAGATTTTGGACTCAAACTTATTTTTTAAGACTAAATTATCCCAGTGTTGTATTTGAAATGATAAATATCCTCATTAAGAGGGTATTTTTCACCCAATCACTCTTTGTAAGAAAGAATGTAGTTTTTGTGGCCCAGGCATAGTGGTATATGCCTAACACTCAGGAGGCAGAGACAGGCCAGTATCTATGAGTTCCAGGCCAATCTGGTCTACATAGAGTGCTCCAGGTCAGCTAGGACTGCTTTTGTGGGGAGGGGGAAAAGAATCTGGCTTTATCTTAAAAATTTCATAAGCAGTTTGCATACTCATTTGATAGCATGCTACGTATTCAGTTGCTTATTATATTTCTCCTTAATACCAAAGAGCCCTTGATTTGTCAAGCATTGAATAACAAATACCTAGAATGAGAATTAGCACTTAAATATCTTTTAGATTATAGATGAATAGATTGATGGCTGTTTTTGTTATCATCATCATCATCATCTTTGGCCAGGGAAGATTTTGTTGATTACATGGAGATACAATTTCTAACAGAGTTGATGGATCTAATTCTCTTAGGAATTCTGTTCTGATCCTGTTGATACTGGTCTAATCACTGCTGGACTCTAATGGCCCAGGCTACACCCCTTCCTTTCTTGTTGCCATTCCAATCCAATGACTTGATGTGTGTGTTCCTGGGAAAAACAGAGGGAAATTAATATTAGAGATGACTCTTTGTTGGGAAGATGGGAGTGAGAGTGTGCCTGTTGTGTGTGGAAGGAAAGGAATGTGTTCTCTCTCTCTCTCTCTCTCTCTCTCTCTCTCTCTCTCTCCTCTCTCTCTCTCTCTCTGTGTGTGTGTGTGTGTGTGTGTGTGTGTGTGTGTGTGTGTGTGTGTGTGTGTGTGTGTGTGTGTGTGTGTGTGTGTGTGCTCAAGAAAGCTAGAGGCTGACTTCAGGTTTCTGCCTCAGTTTCTGTCCACCTTACTTTTTCAGCTCTGATGCCTCACTGAATCTGAAGCTTACAGATTTTGCTAGAGTGGTAGGCCTATGGGCTGCAGGACATCCGTGTCCATTTCTTGAGTGTGTGCTGTGCCCAGCCTACACTCTTGAATTACTGTAGAGGAAAATGAGTTTCATATGAATCTACTCTAGCCTGGTTGACTTCTGGACCATCTTTTGTGGATTATTTCCATTAGAATTTTGGAGGAGAAATAGTTGAACGATTTTATCCCTCCAGGCTAAATTTTAAAGGAGAGTTTGTAGAGAACCTACATAGTTATGCACAAGTGTTCTAATTATAATTCAGTGAAGATACTTGTTACAATTTGGTGTAATTTTCTGTAGTTTCACTAAATTTTTAACATTTATCATCTGATTGATACCAAAAAAAAAAAAAATCCTTTTTAAATGGTTGGATCATGGGGGAAAAAAAAGTTAAGAAACGCTTTATTCCAAAGCTTGTTGTTCAAGGAACCTCAGAGTAATGAGGCAAGACCGCACGTGTCACAAAATAATTTATTTGAGTAACAAACAAAAACAATACTTTGGGGGAAAATGCTAAGACTGGGTAGAAGGAAAAGCTGAGTAAACAGACTCGGGAGAAGTCTGCTCACAACACATTGCTGTTAAGGTTCCCATTCTCCATTTTCAGCTTCTCTTCCATTTGGATTTAAATTTTACAAAAGTACAGTACCCAAGTGAGCATGCTAATGTGAGGCAAATTTCTCTTCTTCTACTCTTATTTTCACATTAAAGTAACAAGATATTTTTTAATTTAGTTATTCTTTAGGCAATATGGAAAACCATAGGAATAAAGCTAACCAAAATGAGAGTATAATTATAATAATGGCAAACATTTGTGGACTGTTTATAGGCACCATGTTGAGTATTTTGTGCCTATTAGCTCATTTAACTCTCATAATAACTTTATGAGCACGATAATATAGTTGACATTTAAGCAAACCTAGGCTTAAATACCTATGCCAGGTGGCATAGAAAGCTAGGAGTAATTAGGAGGCTATAGTAATTCAGAGCACCAAATGGAAAGGTCTAGTCTAAGGTAATGGCACAGAGCCAGGAAAACTTTGAGAGTGAATGTTTTATATGTGGCATGCAACAAAGGGGGAGTCAAGAATAACTCCCAAGCATCTGGATCATAAAGTGGATGCATTTTTGTTTAAATGAATGAACCATATTGATGATGGAAATTCTAGGAGGCATTTACTGCATTCTGTTGTCAGTATACTTTTAAATGTCTGGGAAACTTGTCAAAGTGTGTCCTGCTGTTCTCTTAGCTCTGTTTGATCTTCCTATAGAATGCCCCACCAGAGCTACCATGACTCCACACCTGTCTTCCTTCAGCCTGTATCACTCCTTAATTTAGCAATGCACTTCAGACATGCATGCCTTCTATTCTGCCTGAGTGGCAAGTTCTTGCCCTCTCTAGGATCATTGGACTGACTAATTCCATTTACTGCAATATTGCTTGCCAAGAACTTGCCCTGGGATTTCCCCTCCCTACCCTTCATCCAGAGCACTTTTCACTCGTGTTTTCATATTTTGATGGTTGCTTACATTCTGAGTGTGATGAGCTCCTTCAAGTAGACATGAAGACAGACAGTCCCAAGCATACATAAATTCAATAAACATTATGTGTAGAGTAATTAAGCTCAACGCAGAAACTCAGAGTGACTTTTTAAACCACTTATGAAAACTTGCTTACCTTGTTTAATAAAACAAAATGTGAATTCAAACATGTATGTTATACCAATTCATAATTGGCAAGTAAACCTTGCATTTTTATAAGTAATTTTACACACAGTGACCCTATTACAAAAACCATGTTTAATTTTGTTATCTCCTCGGTAGCATAGTTTAGAAATAGAAAAATCTGGGACTGGAAAGAAAAAAATCCATCTTTATAATTACAAATGTCTCAATTTAAGTTTTCTCTTGCAGGCTCAGTGTCAGGATATTGTTCCAACCATAGGATTCACCATAGAGAAATTCAAGTCCTCCAGGTAACCACCTTCTCTCTGTGACTCCGACACTTTCTCCATACTGACCTGGAAATCAGTTGTCACTTCCAATCCTCATGGGTTTGGGCCTTTTTGTACCACTACCTTTAGTTCATTCTCAGCCCTTAAAGCTTAGACTAATGTGAAAACCTCATTAGTAAAGGAAACATTTTTAGGTTATTTCATTGCAAAGTCATATTTAGACTAATAAATTTATTTTTAGTTTTTTCTTGAATATTGACCACATTTATTATAGCCATGTTGATTTATCTGATAGAAAACAACTTACGATTTTAAAAAATAACCATTTAACTTAGTTGCTTAAAATGTAGTAATGTCTTGTTTTTGTTTATAGTCTGTCTTTTACAGTGTTTGACATGTCAGGGCAAGGAAGATACAGGAATCTCTGGGAACACTATTATAAGTAAGTTTTTGTTTTTTTGTTGTTGTTTTGATTTTTCGAGACAGGGTTTCTCTGTGGCTTTGGAGGTTGTCCTGGAACTAGCTCTTGTAGACCAGGCTGGCCTCAAACTCACCGAGATCTGCCTGCTTCTGCCTCCCTAGTGCTGTGATTAAAGGTGTGAGTCACTAATGCCTGGCCTATAAGTAAGTATTTTCATGAGTATTGCTCAACTACATGGTTATATATTGCTGTCAAACACTGATTCAAAATCCAAGCCATTATATGGTTTCTGCTATAATAATGCATCTTCATGTAATTCATGACACTGTACCTTTGTTCTTTTCTCTGTCCATTTCTGTCTGTGGTTAATATAGCTACATCTTAAGAACCAGCCATCAGGCTAGTGTAGTGGCACATGCCTGCAATCCTAGTACTTGTAAATACCTCAGATATAACATTGCCAACTTACGAGGATCCTGATTGGTGGTAAAATAATTGTTCTATTTCTTTATATTATACAGAGATGGACAAGCCATTATTTTTGTCATTGATAGTAGTGATAAATTAAGAATGGTTGTGGCCAAAGAAGAACTTGATACCCTTCTAAACCACCCAGGTATCTGTTTAATTTCTTCCATGATGTCTGTGCTCTTGGTTCTGTCTGTACGTGTTGGTTGTTTTTTAGCTTAAGAAAAAGTTGTTCATAAGATGGGATTGTTTCTATTTAAATTTGTAAATTTTAAAGCTTATTGGTTATACAAAATATATAAAAACTTTGTTTGATTTTTTAAAAATTTAAAGCTTCATATGGGGGGGTTGTTGTTTTGTTTGGGGGGGCTACTGGCATTTATTTCTTTAACACTTAAAATTCTCTGCTTTCCTAAATGTATAAATAATATGTAGTAATAAGAGAAGAACATTCAGAGTGAAAAGATGAGGGAGCAAGTGGCTTTCTGAGCAATAGGACATCAGATACAGTTGCTTTGGTTACCTTATTTTCACGGTACATGGAGACAGGAGCTGTTAACAAGAGGGTCATGCTTCTGCCTGTTTTGCTCTCAGTGTTAGCAAAACTTCAAGTAGAAGGAAGAGGAACTGGGTTCTGGTTTTATTTATTTTTTTATTGAAGTATGTATTTGAGTGTATCTATGTGTACTTCGGGCATACAGGAGCCCACAAAGGTCAGAAGAGTGCATCAGATCCTTTTAGTTGGAGATACAGGCAGTTATGAACCCTTGGTCATTTTATTTCAAAGTGTTGCTTAAATAACGAGGGTAAGATAGGGAATTAATTGAAAAGATAAATATGTACAATAATGAAACTGGTAAGCCCATTGTTATGGAGAATTAGATATAATAATTATAACTGGAAATACACAGTTTTTCTACAAGATGTGAAGATGCTCTGTGCCCTCCTTACTGTGGAGGGCAATTGAACAGCATAGGACAAAAGGGGGAAGGAGGGCCTCCTTCTCAATTCTAAGCTCTTTAATATGTTTGGACTTGGCTTCACTGAGCAGCTAAGGGCATTTGCTGCCAAACCCAGGATCCATCCTGCATTTGATTCCACGGACCCACGTGTTGGGCAGATGGAGAGAGTTGAGTTCTTCCCATGGCTTTTACTGTGACATCCACATGCATGCCATGGCACACCTGTAGCATGTGTGCCAGCACACACACATATATGCACATACACGCGTACACACACAGTTAAATAAAAAATGTTTAAAAAATACATAAAATCTTTGGAAAATGCTTTCAAGTTGTATGTGCGAAAAATACATTGCTAATAGTATCCCACTAGTTCATGATGTTGTCTATGACTTAAAAATAAAGCAGAATCCATTTCTTCCTCTTCCTATCTGAAAACAAGAGAAATATTTTTCCCTTTTGCATAGATGCTTCTCTAACTGCTAGGTTCCCCTTCTCTGGCTTTATTTTTTGGGTTAAAGTCCCTAGACAGAGGGCACATGGTCTTACCAAGTACTTTTGACTGCTCTGTTTGGATGAATGTTTAACTGTGTACCTTTAAGTGTTTCGTATGGGTAGTAGTGAAAGAAGCAATGGGAAACAGTTCATCTTATGTCAGTTTTAGGGGTTTGGGGCAAAGTGATCCAAAACTTGGGAAGTGTTGTGATGGTGTCTTTCTTTTTTAGATATTAAGCACCGCCGGATTCCAATCTTGTTCTTTGCGAACAAAATGGATCTTAGAGATGCAGTAACGTCTGTGAAAGTGTCTCAGTTGCTGTGCTTGGAGAGCATCAAAGACAAACCGTGGCACATTTGGTAAAAACAAAAAAAGTTTATTTCTCATTTTGTCTTTTTTGAAAAGTCTGTGAAATGTGGGTTCTGTTTAGTGTTTTTGCTTTTGTTTGTTTGTTTTTTACATAATTATATTAAATGTCGAACATGGTAGAATACAAGCAAAGTATTTATTTCATAGAATTGTGACATTTCAGGTACTCATGAATATATAACTTTTCAAATCCTTTGGCACTTTTAAAAAATTTTATGAGCCGGATGTTGGTGGTGGCGCACGCCTTTAATCCCAGCACTTGGGAGGCAGAGGCAGGCAGATAGATCTCTGTGAGTTCGAGGCCAGCCTGGTCTACAGAACGAGTTCCAGCCTTGCTGTCCTATCTTCAACCACAGTGACTTCCTTTTGCATCTGTAATCAGCCAAGCCCAATCCTTTCTTGGGATATTTGCACTTTGGTATCACCTCCCCTGAATCATTCTGGAAGTTAATGTTTCTGGATTGCTATTGTATGTCACTGCAACCATGTGACCTCTGTTGCTTTTTATTTTGGTGGTAGTTTGTCTTCCTACCACTCGAGTTAGCTCTCTGGGAGATAGAATTTTTGCCAGATTTGGTTGATACCTTAGTTTTCTTTTCCCACTTCTGTGACTGGTACATAGTACATATACTATAAATATTTGCTCAAATGAACAAGTAGAGATAATGGTTGTATATGGATATACTAGTAAACAGTATCTGAAATTACTATGCATCATTTATTTAGCAAACAGTTACTTAATCAACTCCTTTGTGCTACCTTCCTGAATTCCTCATTTGCTACCTACACACCTACCCTCCCATGCCCCAGAATTTCCTTCTATAGTTTCCCCACTTTCCATAAGAGTTACAGTGATAACTAAGGGAAGCTAGACACAAAGCAGAGAAGTCTACTGATTCTAGACATGACCTAGACTGTAAGCAAGAAGGTGGAGCCTACGAATCCCAACATGGAGTGCAGTACAGGGTGGGGATTCCACTCCTAGAGCAGCATTTTGAAAGTTACTTGAGAGGAAGAATTCGTTTTCTCTAAGGGTGTGACCCCTGATAGGTTAACCACACACCAGGGGAGACCCCACATCTAGAACTGTTTGGGGTAACACAAACTGGACTCCCTGGGGTTTTAAAAAGGAGAGACCATGAGTTGGATGGGTAAGGAGATGAGAGTGAATGTGATCAAAATAGATTGCATGAAATTCCAGAGAATGAATAAAATACTTTTAAGAAGAAAAGCTCTTTAAGAGCTAGCCTTGGTGCTGAACAGAGGATTGTTTAAGTAAACCCTGGAGATATGTCAGGAATCTATGAGGCACTGCATCCCTCTGCCAAGGGTGGAAACAGTGAAACCTTCCTTGCTCTTGAGTGGTAGTGGGATTGGGGGGTGCTATTCTATGGTTGGTGAATCAAATCTAAGGTCAGATAATGTTTGGTAGTTAAAGGAGAGTGGGATTTTAGACAGAGAAAAATTTTGAGATAGAACCTTTGCTATCATTGGACTCCAAAGGCAACATAAATTAAAACAAATACTAATGTTGGCATTGTACAAAACATTGTGGTGCTTTTATGGGAAGTATACTACCCAAGAAATGTAAGTTTAGTGATTGAATTACCCCTTCCTACCAAAAATAACTAACAGAATCTAAACAGATTTAATTATTCAATTATGACATCTCAAAATGTCTCTGTGTGAAAAGTGAAGTCATGATGCTGTGAGGATATTATATTTCCAATTCTGTGTTCTCTATATAACATGGGAAAATGCCAAGAATTTTTTTTAACTGTCTATAACTTCTCCTTAATTCAAACTGGACATCATCTTGCTAAATTCAAATTAGTATTTCATTTATAAGATTTTGTTCTGCTTTTTGTGATATTTTTTAAAGCTTGCACAGGACTGAAAATGTTTATCCTTCTTTTCCGGGTTTATCTATATGGATGGAGTCCTTAGTGACATAGAGATAAAACATTACCTGTCTCTTACCTTAGATACAAGTATATTGGTAGAGTCTGGGAACTAAAGAAGACTCCGGGGGCCTTTATTTGTATCATTTTTACTAACCATAGAGTCTAGGGTCTCATTTGTATTAGCATGTCTGTTGACTTAGTTCCTTTGTGATATATTTAGCTTTGTATATTTGATTCTGAAATAGACAGATAATAAGAAAATAATTATACAAACATCAGATAACTGGATGGAGAAATGTCCACAGTATAAGAGAAAGCATGAGCTGACTTGTTCTCTCTATAGCCTGACTTCAGTCACGTAGCATTTCATGTGAAGGCCTGGTTGGAGAAACAGCTACCCAGTTAGAGGCCAGGAAGGAACGGGCTCTGCATGGCTGAGGGTGTACCTGTTCTGTCCCAGAAACAGCAAGTAGTCTGGCCGCAACAGAGCAATTGAAGGGGAGACTGGGGGAGATATGGCCACTGAGAAAAAGCTCAGGGCCATAAAAGGCAAAGCATGATAGGACAGCACACAGTGAAGAGCTCTAGCACGAAGGAGAGGTAGAACTTGTTTGGAGAAATATGCAGAGTTTGTAGTCACTTAGTGACACTTCCACCAGTGGACAAGGAGTTCTTTCCTCTAGTCTTGTCTAAAATTGTATGTGCCAAAAGCAATAGCTTGGGTTTTTGATAAAAGTGTTTTAGTTCCTGATGCCTCGCTGTTATGATATGTAATTAAGAATGTGCTTTGAATAATTGTTTACTGTTTGTTTCCAACTTCTTACTTGAAAAAAATTCTTCACTAACCCTAGTCCCAATTCAACAAGTAATTCCTTGGCAGAAATTTCTTTAGTTTAAACCAGATTACTTCTTTAGGTTCTCTACTATGCTTTAGGTGATGCTTCCCCTCTAAAGGAATGCTATAAAATCATCTCTAATTATTCAGAAATTTTAATGATGTATTAATATGATCACAGATTTTAAATAAGTTGCTACATCTGTAACCACCAAAATGCCCCATCTCAAAGGGATTGTTTGAACTTTTTCTTTGATTATTTGAACTTTTACCATTTTAGATTTACATACCGTAAATAATTAAAGATGACATATCATATTAGAGGCTTAAGGATTGAAGACTAAGGAAGCACTTTTGCTTTTACATGCATACCTCAAACATGTAATTCTTACAATAACCATGTTAGGTCAGTGGTAATATTCCCTCAGTTGCAGATGCCAGAGGTTACTGCAGTAGTAAATACAAAAGTACAATTGAAATTGACTGGAGTTTTGTTTTCTACTAATAGCTTATAAAAGTTTTTGAGCAGCTGGGGGGTGGTGGTGCACACCTATAATCCCAGAACTTGGAAAGCAGAAGCAGGTAAATCTCTGAGTTTGAGGCCAGCCTGGTCTACAGAGTGAGTTCCAGGATAGCACAGGCTACACAGAGAAACCCTGTCTCAGGAAGAAAGAAAAAGTTTATGGGCTGTACATGATGGCTCATAATTGTAATTCCTGTATTTGCGGGGTGGAGGCTAATGTTCATTCAATACATAGCAAGCTTGAGGTTAACCTGAAATCTTTGAGACCATGCCTCAAAAATAAAGCAACACAGAACCCACGTTATAATTATGGGTTTTTACTCTGTAGATAACAAAGTCCATTTCAAATGAAGTCAGTTGATTCTGTGACTCTACTGTGACCTAAGTCAAACATTTCTAACAAGTAAATGCTGTTGGAGCTCTGGGTAAACTGAGGTAGGACAGTGAACTCTAGAAAATTTTAGTGAGAAAAATAACCAGGTGTTTATGTGTTCTTAACATAACTAGACATTCCCAAAATTTGTCTTGAATGTTTTTTTTCCCAAGTACTCAGACTCTTAATTTCCTATTTATATTCTATTTCAATAATCAGTTTTGTACAGTTATATGTTATTAGTATGCATTTCTTTGCAATATGGCAAAAGTGTTGTTATTTTACTCCTAGAGTTGTATGATGCCACAAAATGGATGTTTTGTATGACTTTTATTTCAGCGCGAGTGATGCCATCAAAGGAGAAGGACTACAGGAAGGTGTGGACTGGCTTCAAGGTACATCGCACACCACTGTGCATCTGTGGTCTGTTTCTTTTTCAGTCGCTTCATTTCATTTTTATATTTTAATTTTATTACATCAATGCCCCCTTCTTGTTTTTTTTATTTCTGCTGTCAGAAAAAACAGTACAGTAAGTATTTGATACCTTGCTGCATTTACTTTATTCTATTTTTCTGGCAGATTTAATTAAAGTGTTTCTGTGTTTATATTCAATATATATAGCAGGTCTAGAAAATGGTTTTAATTTATGGACTCAGATTTTCATTAAATCTAGTAGTTGAAAAACACATTTGAAGCTTGGGACCAAATAACTATTTTTTATCAGTCATGCTGTTTAGAACTCCATATATAATAATATATATATATATGTACATATATATATGTATCATATATGCATAAGTCTTAACACATACTTAGTATTATAAATACTGTTTTGCTATTACTATCTTGCTTATTTTCAGTTCAATTTTTTAATCACAATAGCTATACTAGATCACTACTATATTAGAGAGTAAATTAAGATGTAGGTTTCCCTAGGGTTCTATTATCTACTGAGTATAAGAACAACTTGAAGCATGCAGAACAATACATAGATGTGTGTTCTGTATGTCCATTCAGTAGCATCTTTATGGCCAAGTCAGACGTTTCAATTTAAGCAGAGTTTCTGACTGTTTGTTCTTACTGGGAAATCTTCCTACTCTGAATGGGATAAAGGAGATACAAATCCTAATTACAATTTGTGGTTATAACTACTATTTCCTTCTACATTAGCCCTTTAATATTAGATATGTGTGGTACTGTTTTTCATTTTTCTTCCTTCATCTTTTGGAAACCTGTTATGTTAGATGGAAGAGTAATCTGCCTACAAATGCTAAAAGCACAATTGATAGAGATATGTAAAATCTGCTCTTCTAGTGAATTCACACACAGACTTTTAACTTCTTTCCTTTTGGGGGGTCATGTGGGGTGGGGGGTTGAAACAAGGTTTCTCTGTATTTCCCTGGCTGTCCTAGAACTCATTCTATAGACCAGACTGGCCTGAAAACTCAGAGATCTGTCTGCCTCTGTCTCTGCCTCTGCCTCTGCCTCCTGGGTGCTGGAATTAAAGGCATGTGCCACAACTGCTTGGCACAGACTTTTATTTCTAGCTTGTATTTATTCAGTCAAAACATTCTAGTCATAGTTTATAAGTAAATAAAAAAATCTCTAATGGTTCTCAAAACTAGTAAAGGAATTCTTTCTTTGAACCCACTAACTTCATGTTTTAAATTCTTTTAAGAAGTGTTCAGGTTTATGGGATAGATTTCCAGAAGAAACTGATCGGTTACAGAGTAAAACCCCAGGGAAGATAGAGAAGAGTATTTCTTCCTGCCTGCTTCTTTACCAGTGTGATGTTACTTTCAGGGAAGATGCAGTAGAAGCCCAGCCAATACTTAGTGCAGTGATTCTGAGTACAATACTGAGCAGAAGATGATTTACCTTCTAGGTTTTGGTTTCTGTCACTCCTTTCTTCCCCAGCTCCATTTATAGTTATAAGTTTTATTTTTTTAATCTGTAGCAATAGCCACTAGGTGTCAGTAATGATCCAATTTTACAGTACTAATTTTCAACTCGTTCTTGGTACCAATTGTTTTTCTATTCTGATCTGTTATCTTCCGCCCCAAGTCTTTGTGAGTACAGAATATTATTAGAAATGCTTTTGTGTCCTTTTTTTGCAACAATATCTGCAAGGTAGGTAGGAGCCTCCTTGTCTACTCTGCAACAGGAGGACGAGCCAAAGAGCTGGCCAGTGAGGCAGCTCATTTACTCCACTTACTGTTAACCTCCCATCACACTAATGGCACCTTTTATTATCTTAGGAAGTAACTGTCACATCTGGAATATTAAAACCACATTTCAGAAAATAGTGGACATACGCATTAAAGTAAAATGCAAAGGAAAGCGCTCAATACAAACCACTTTTACTCTCTTACTTAGGTACCTTATTTAAAAGAGGCAGAAACTACATAGTTTTGTTTTGTTTTTTAAATCAAAGAGTGTGTCAGTTTGTGTTTAACTAGATAATCATACAGTGGTATTTTCCTACAGAATAGTAAGTAGTGTAGATTTTATTGTTCTCAATAAAAAAAGAGGTAAACAGCTACCTTCAAAACAAGTTAATAGGAAATAAAAGAGACTAGCCTGCTTGTAATGCCATTCATTAGCTACATACATAGAAAAACCTAGCTGTAAAAGACCTGTGAACTGAACTATATTCATCTAGAATTCTGAGGTTTTCTAGTATGTTCAACAAGGTTCATTTTGTACTCATTGAATCTTATTTAAGTTTAATATTGGACTTTTTCATGAAATATTGAAAGTTACATATTATATTCTCTTTTGAAAGATTCAGTAATTTTGTATGTGTAGTAATAAGTATAAAGCTTCTATTTCTGAAACATCCAAGTGAGAATTTTGTGGGGGAGCTACATTTGTTTCTTGTTTTTTTAATTTTTTCCTGGGGCATGGTATGGCTGTTATGTAGCACTGACTGACCTGGGGCTCAGTATCTGATTTCCCCACCAATGAGACTATAGGCGTGTTCTACCTGCCCAGGGTTCAAGTACGATTTTTTTTTAAGTTTTTCCAAAATAATGAAACTTGTTTTACCATATTATGTCCAAGGTGAAAAATCAGTAATGCCTCCCGATTTCAAGCTGTGATCTTGTTTGGGTTTAAATACCAAGAATGATCCCAGGATATCCATGACAGGTGTTAAGGAAGCACAAGTACTATACTTTCTGATCTACTACCCTAGCCCACCTCTAGATTTTAATATCTCTATTGGACAGGTTGTCCAATGTGAGTATTCTAGCGAAAATACAGGATTGGACATATATTGTAATTCCAGGTTCACTAATGATAAGGCATTGTTTGAAAAGCTGTTAACTCTGTGTACATCAAAAATGGATGTGGTTAAAATGCGGATCTTGTTTGGAAAGCTGGAGATCTGATGGTTGTTGCTATTAATGGGCCCCAAAAAGCTGAATCCTATGTGGACACTATGAAATGATAGTACGCAGCCTGATTCACGTTGAAGATCTTCTCAAGAGTTTAGAATATGCTTGTAATTGGAAATGAAGGATGGATTTAGAGCTGAAAAGAGAAAACATGACTTCCTCCACCCAACAACTACAACAACAAAATTAGTTTCAAGGATTATCCTTTGCAAATGTTCAGACACTATCTGTGGGCTGGAAGACACTGGACATACACTGTGTGGTGATTGTAAATGGAAAGCAAGGAGTGGCTGCAAGTTTTCATAGAAAATATTGTTATTCTCTTCTGTCTCCTGCTCCACCAGTAGGAGGAGGCAGAAGGTAGGGAGAGTCATCTGAGGAATCAGCATTGGTGGCACACAGCTTTAATCCCAGCACTTTAGAGGCAGAGGCGGGCGCATCTCTGAGTTTGAGGCCAGCCTGGTCTACAGAGTGAGTTCCAGGATAGCCTGGGCTACACAGAGAAACCCTGTCTCAAAACAAACAAAAAAACAACCAAAGAGGTGATATTGAGAAGACTCTGTGTCCAAATGAGAGACAGTTTAGAAAGAGAACCAAGAAAATAGGGAGGACTAGTGGGTCATCAAAGAGTTTTTGCTAGAACTGAATCTTGTGAGCCCAGTGCAGGGGAAGAAAATATTACTGCCCAAGATGCATCATTAGTAAAGTTCAACCATGAAGACAGTGAAGCTTGTGCAATCTTCCAGAAGTGGAAGTGGGCTTCACATAAGGAAAAAAAAAATGTTATATCAAACTTCCCAACACCCACTACCTGGGAGCTACATGATAATGGTTGGTGCCTGGAAAAGACCATGGAGAATCTACTGGAATCACATACTCGAGCATTATCAAATGTGACAGTAAATTTAGACATTAAGCCATATAAGCTCAAGAAGGAGAGAGGAAAGCAAGAAAAGAAAAATACCAGATGGGCTCATCTCCCCAGAGTACTAGTAAAGTTTCATTGTGCAGGCATGAAGCCTGAGTGAGTCTGAATCCCTAATACTTATTGAAAGCCAGGAGCACTCATCTGTAATCCAGTGTGCCTTGGCAAGATGGAAGGCAGAGATGGAGAATCCACAGAAGTTTGTGGGTCAGCTAGCCTGGAGTTCACAACAACAAACACTAAGGTCCCGCTTTAAGACAGAAGACAAGGACCACCTGCAGGATTGACCTCTGACCTCCACACATGGACCAACACATACATAAATGTGTACACAAGCATCGTACACTCTCAAAGTAAGGACAGAAAAGGAAGAAAGGAAGGATGGCTAGATGGATTAGGAACTACAAAAACCAGCACAGGAATGAAGGAACAAATCCCTAGGCTGTTCATGAAAATCCTAGACTAACAATGAAAGAGATCTCATGAATAACTGACAAGCAGAGAAAAGGGCCGTCTAGGTTGGAGAGCCCCTGTGATGTTTAGAAAAGTGTTCTTCAAGAAGGTGTAAACAGCCGGGCATTGGTGGTGCACGCCTTTAATCCCAGAACTTGGAAGGCAGAGACCGGTGGATCTCTGTGAGTTTGAGACCAGCCTGATCTACAGAGCAAGTTCCAGGACAGGCTGCAGAGCTACACAGAGAAACACTGCCTCGGGGGAAAAAAAAAAAAAAAAGATTGCTCATTGGTTAAGGCTTTTCTTCTAGAGAACCTGAGCTAAATTCCCAGCACCCTCATGGTGCCTCGTAACTATCCATGACTCCAGTTCCAGGGGTCCCAACATTACTAGCATCTGAAGGCACCAGACATGCATATGGTTCAAAGATATTCATATAGGAAAAACACCCATATAGATAAGTAATTATTTTAAAAGAAAGTAAAAATGATGGCTTATGTAATATGCTTCATATGTGAGAATATTGGGGTTGAGTTAGTGTTAAATATACTAAAAAACAAAAGGAAGAAGGAGAAGAAAGGAAGAGAAGAATAAATTAAATAAATGGTTTTGGTTGTGATGATTACTTTTAGGAGAAACAAGATTTAGAAGAAGGAAGCATGCATACCACCTGTCTGAGGGCTGGCTGACTGACATTGGCATAGTCATACAGAAAATGAAGTCATTAACTGAGTTGCAAGTATTAAGGCCATAAAGGTTACAAGGGAGTGGCTGAATGGGAGTGTGAGAGCTGAAGTCTGATAAGGCTACTGATATTGCAGGAATTACTGTGTGTGTGTTTAGTGAGTTGTAAGTAATTACCTAGGAGGAGATTAATTGTAAGCATTAATGTCGGAAAAAGGAGAGATGACCAAAGGAACTCCTATGTGTTTCTAATAAGCTTGTAGAACTAGTTAATTCCTTATCTACTTACAGCTTATATAAAAATTAACACAGTAGTATTAATTGCACCTTAAGAAAACAGATATGCAGATAGGGTCTCCCTGTGTTTTATGGATTGGCCTTGAGTTGACTTAGAGAATAGGGTTGCTGCTGTTTCCTTTGTCAGGCTGATAATAGTTTTGTCTGTTTGTTATCAGATCAGATCCAAGCTGTGAAGACATGAAAAGATAGTCTCTGGAAACTTCAGCAATTTTCAATTAAAGGAGTCTATGTAAGGCATACTGAATAATCTCAAATTTATTTTAAAATATTTATGCAACCAAGGATATTTTACAATGTTCTGCTTGCTCTTATGGACTCTGGAAGAAGTCTTTAAGAATTTAGGACCTGAACATTGTTAATCTATTAACCATATGAAAACTAACATTACCTCGGAACGCCTTAGTTACCTGCTTCTTGTAAAGGTCTACATGTTGCTGTAATTAGAATGTGTAAATAAGTTATAAGCCATCTCAATATCCTATCATGATTTATGATATCTTTAATGTATTTTCATTTTTAATTGTCTTCTAAAAGTTTAGTTTATAGTATGACTTTGAAGCTCAAATTGTGTTAAGGAGACAGCTTTAAAGCATTATAAGGGATCACAAGTAATTGGTATATGTGTAATTTTCATTGTGCCACTATCAATAAAAAAATGAAATATACCAACTAAAATGCTTTGTTCGTGCTGAAAAGAATAATGTGTTGGTGTGGTGTTTGGTGTTTTGCTGCTAGTCATTATCTGAAACCAACTAAACTAAGTTTATTTACTCCTTGCTTACCAAACAGTTCCATACTTTCTGATCAGGCATTGCCCTGTAAACCTGCATGTATGTTTTTTCCCTTCACAGTTGAGAGGATTTAGATGTGTGGTCAGCCCATTCTTTTGAAACACTCATATGTATGAAATATCTCTTGCCTTCATGGAAATCAACTTAATGAGGAAGAATCTGGGAACATTTTACATATGATGTTTTGAATTGTTTTGTTTTATTTTTTGAGACAAGGTTTCACTGTGTAACCATCCTGGCTGGCATGGAACTTGCTCTGTAGACCAGACTGACCTGGAACTCACAGATATCCTCCTGCCTCTGCCTCCCAAGTGCTGGGATTAAAGGTGTGCACCACTATTACCTGGCCCATTTTACAAATGATTAAAACATTTTTATTTCATTAGCTGAATGAAAATTTTACATCTTCATATTAATAAATTAAAATTTAGTATTTAAATTAATATTTTTATAACTGCCTTGCTTTTTTCTCTTAATATGCCTCTGTGTTTCTGATATAATATAGAAGATAATTTGAAAAAAGAAAGAGAGAAAAAAAATAAAGAAGAAAGATTCTTGCTCAGATTTTGAAGGCTTCTGTTTATGCTGAGGCTCCTTCTATTCAGTCTGTGCCGAGGCAGTTTCATGGCTGTAATACATGGCAGAGAAGCTCCTTACTTCCTATCTAGGAAGCAAAGAAAGAAGAGAAAGGTCTGGGGAAGCAAAACCCTTCATGGGTATATCCTTACCTCACTGTCTGAGCAGCCTGCAGGGTACAGTTGACATCCAAACAGCAGATTCCAGTTCCTCAACAAACTATTTATAAACGCTGTGTCAGTGTTCTTTAGAATTTCAGATAAATCTCAGGTACACAGCATGTCACTTCTCACACCTAAAGGCCTTTGTAATTGCAAACTGTAAATTCAAACTCCCTTTTTAAGTTAGACACTAAGACTATTAACACAACAGTGATGTCAAGCCTGAAAACCATTGCATTTGGAAGAAGAGCTATGGATTGTATAACATCATAAACATTCTTAGGCATGAAAATAACAAAAGCCAAAATGTGGGTAACACGGGTTCATTGTTATACATACCCCAGTGGTGATAAATGTTTTACAGATTTCTAAAAGATAGCAGTCAAAGCTATATAATCCAGTCTCTCAAAATCCAGAAGTCACAATGAATGGGCATTTGAGAAACTGAAAATGATCAAGATAGTGGAGTGGTTTAGTAGCTTAGCTATTATGATAGCCTGTCATAAGTTGCTTTCATTAGGATGCAGCCAGAATATCATCTATCAAGAGTTGCCTCAAATATAGATAGAAAAGATGTGATGTGAATTCTTTTGCATGTATTTATTTTTTTTGGTGGAGAAAATGCTATATGGGGGTAAGAGGACAACTTTCAGAAGGTGGTTCTCTCCTTTCACTATGTGGGTTCTTGGAATTGAACTCAGGTTTGGCATCAAGTACCTCTACCTAGTAATGCCAACCTCACAGCCTATGATACCATTTACAGAAAGAAACAACAAAAACAGGCACACTGTAGCAATTTTAGGAGGGCAGAGCAAGAAATCAAGTCTTCACCTAAATTCAGAACTTCCCATCATTCAGTCTTCACAGCGCTATGTGCTGTGTCCTATTGGCTCTGTTGTGTGGATTAAGACATTTGGACCTGTTGTGTGAGACTTGTTCTGGGAAAATAACAAACAAAATCTATTCAGCCTAGAGAGGGCACCAATAACACACCAAAGAAACGAATCTAATGAAGTCCATCTTGGTGAGCCAGTGGTTTTATTACGGCTACTTACTCCAGAGTATGAGTAAAAAGTTACTAACAGAATTGTGGACAACTCAGAGTCAGCCACATTGCCAAAGAGCTCCGTTTCTCCCAACATGGCTTGTGACTCAGAAAAACTGCATCCGTGGAGGTCAGCACATAGATGGACTGAATTCAGCTGGTCAGAGTTTCCTCTTGAAGTGGTGCTTACTACTTAGCACCCTGATTCAGGTGAGTTTCAAGGACTTCCTGAGACTTAGTAGTTGTTTACTTCATGTATATGACTGAGCTGCCCTTTAGAAGTTTCAGATACTGAAGAAACTGCCCTCCAGGGTGGATTGTCTCATTTCAGAGGAAATTGCTTCACTATAGGACATTTTTAAATTTGAGATTTGACAAAGGCCTCAGAGCTGGAAAATGCTGGTGCTAGGCTTCAAAACCAAACACTCTGTTTAGAATAGATTATTCAAAATAGGTAAGAGAAATGCAGGTATTATTTGGTAATATTACTAAAATCAAAATCTATAGGAACAACCATAAGCTAGAAACTACTAGAGGCGTTTTTTTGTTCAGTGTTGTTTTGTTATTGTTTATTGGGTTTTCATTTTAGGTCTGTTAGCACTAAAATTTTACTCTCTGGACTTAGATGAGGTACATTAGACTCTGATAAGTTATATAAAAGTAACTCTTAAAACTATGTAAGCCTCAACTAAGCAGTAACTCACATATATGGAAATATTTAGAAGAAAGGAAAAATACTTTCCCTTGTTTTCCATTAACAGAATAACCATAGCCTTGGCAGCTCACATACAACAGAAGTTGTAGAGAATGGAGATCTGCCATCAGGTTCTGTTGATAGCCTTCTTCTCATCCACAGAGTTCCATCTTCTCATTGTATCCCAACAGAAAGGAGGGAGAGAACACTATGGGTAACTTTTATAATAGTACGAATGCCATTATATCCTGAGAGCTCCACCATTATGAACTAATTACTTCACAAAGACTGTTCCTCCTAGTGTCACACTGGTATTTAGGATTTCAACCTGTACATTTTGTGTAAACATAGGGAAAATTCAACTTGCTTATCATTCCAGTATGATAAATAAATATGCTGATTTACCTAACTTTATGTATAGCGTCTACTCTCTATCTTTCTATTTCATAATTTTAAAACATTGGTTACTCACTGTGCTCTAATAAAACATAAAGAGGATTTATTTTGACTTACAGTTCCTGGAGATACAGTCCATCATTGTGGAGAAAGTATGTTACCAGCAGTGGTAAGCAGCTGGGCTCTATGTATCCACAGTAAGGAAGCAGAGACTGATGAGTTCTTGCATTCTTATTCTGTCTAGGACCCCAGCCTGTGGAATGATACCACCCACATTTAGGGTGAGTTTCCCTATATCAATTTAGATAATCCTTCAGACACACCCAGTGATTTGTATTCGTGATGATTCCAAATCCCATCAAGTTGCCGGTGAAGATGAACTATCACAGCTCCTATCCTTGTCAACATGACCCAAACACATCACTTTTAAGTTTCCATCCCTTGTTCCCATAAGCTAATGGTCATCTCATAATGTAGAATACATTCCATCCAGCATCAAAGTGCCCATAGTCTAAATAATTACTGCACTGTTTGTAAGTCCAAAGCTCAAGTCTCATCAGAGATCAAGGCAATTTTTTAACTGTGAGCTCCTATAAAAAAAAAAAAAAGCCAAAAAAACCAAAAACAAGTTACATCCTATATAAACATTCCTCTTCCAAAGGGATGAATAAGGACATAGCAAAAAATGATTAGAACAAAGCAAGACTGAAATCCAGCAAAGCAAATGCCAATCCTGAAGCTCAGTGCCTGACAGATATTACAAGTGGAATCCTCTGGACTCCAAAGGGTCTAGCTGCCACCTGTAGTACCTTGGACAGGTTAGACCTGTATCCTTTTTGTTGTTGTTGTTGTTGTTGTTTGGTTTTTTGAGACAGGGTTTCTCTGTGGCTTTGGAGGTTGCCCTGGAACTAGCTCTTATAGACCAGGCTGGTCTCGAACTCACAGAGATGCGCTTGCCTCTGCCTCCTGAGTCTCAGTTACAACTTCAGGTAATAGTAGTACCTCAGGTTCTCTACAGACTTTTACCCTGGGACACGTTGCCTGGACTCATTGACTCTCTGGAAGCAAGGCACAAGAGTCATTAAGCCCCTCAGTGTGACACCTTTCATGTAACAACAGCACTGTAAATGCCACCCACCGTGTTTGCTCTTTCCTCTGCCTTAAATGCCTCTTCAAAAGCAGTGCGGGTTCTTAAACACTGAGCAACCTCTGCGGTCCCATTTCTGTATTTCTTAACAGCTGCACTAGCAAGCTGACAATGTTCAGTTCAGCACGAACTCCAAGTAGCAGCTGTAAGAAAGGAACTTCACAGAAGCCCGGCAAGCAGCTGTCAAAACGATCCTTTACTCACCTGATTTTCCTCCTAAATTAGTTGGTCAATAATAAGACTTCCAACTTGAATGAGATGTACTGGTCTAACCTGTCCAAGGTAGTAATTGGCAGTTGTAAACTCAAATTATATAGGTCGCAGTGGGATTGGGGCAGCAGTTTCTCCACCTGCATATTTCTCATACCTATCATTTTCGTTTCCTTTTCAATTATGCAATTTTTAAAAGGTCAAGAGAATGCAATAAAGAGTTCACTTGCTGGTAGTTTCATATTAACATACCGAACCCAAGGATGCCGTGTATTACACATGTGTCTGATGATTCATGATTTAGAGACAATCCATTTACTGTCATATTTCCTGGCCAAAACAGCTAGAAGCCAAAGCAGATATTAATTATATGGCTGTCATTGGCGTATTATGCATCATGTATTATGCATTATATTATTCTGGGTTTTTTTTTCCTAGCATGATATTCCTATTACAGATCTGTGCCAGGAGGTGTTTTAAGTATGTGCTGATTGGAGAACACAGTGTATCACTAACAGCCCCCCCTCCACCCCGCATTCCTTTGTGCCTGTTGCCCATGGGTCACATTTATGACATAGTTTTGCTAGTTTGCCACTCTTAGTTGTATGTTTCCTTCTCAGACAGCTGCTGGGGACTGGGTCACCCCTATGTGCTT